CCTGCTGCGTTCTGGAACCTGGCTCCTGCGGTCCTCGTCGTCGGTGATCTCGTGTTCGGAGAGGCTGCGTTCCATGCTGTACTTGGTGGGCCCGTTCAGGTTGAGGAGGCGCTGCAGGTGGTCGACGGTCGCCAGCTTGGAGAGATCTTCGTGGGTGGCGTAAATCGGGGGTGGCTCAAGGACGTAGAGTCTAGGGGTGCGCTGAGGAGGATGTCTCAGACGACGCAACAAAGACAACAGCTGCCCAGACGCACCAAAAAGCGAGGTCGTTAGAAAAAAAGAGGTGGGGCGGGCAAAATTAACGGGTTTCGGTGTCTGTCGGATCTAATCTGTTTTTCTTGTTGTATTCCCAGACTTTTAGAGCAGATGGTGGCAGTGGGGTGTACAGGATGTGGGTCTGGCGTCTATGTCGTGCAGAGAAGAGGTCTATAGTGATAAGAAGGAGAGGGATGTGGTGAGATGAAGAGAGCGCCCTGGGAGCGGACTGTGGCCCAGCTGACCCTAAGAACATCGGCTACTTCCTCTATCAGTCACATGCCCCTCATCCGCAATTCATTTCAAATGCAGGCCCCGCTTTATATACAGCACCCATGAGACGCGGTGCGCTCTTGTATGCCCCCTCTTGTCGTCGCTGTGTCACCCGACCAGCACCAGTCTTTTCTCGGGCCCCGAAGGCCTCCCCAACACCCCTCCTCGATGTCGCTCTCCTAACGTCCACCATTTGACTCCCACTCATCGATCGAAGCCCCGAAACCTTCGAGTTAATCCCTCTTTGTGTCGCGCTTGGGCCCTGTGATCATCCCAACCGGCTTCATTTACGTGATGGCCCTAAAAGCACCAGAGCATGTGGGTAGTCGTTCGATAGAGAGGTACATCCCTGTTCAATGATCAATTCACTCGAAGACCCTACCGTTTGGAGACTGGGAACTTGGAAGTCATCCGCAGTGTATGCTTGTCGAAAGAATCACTTGACAGTGTGTGGTCTCGAGCTCCGTGCAATATTCCCCTGATGGGGCATTCCCAAAGTCGGATTGTGTACGAAAAGTGGGAGTAGGGAGCTCTTCACCTCGTAGAGTTTTTGCAGTGCAAGATTAATACAGATGTTAAGAATAGTTGTCCCACAGAAGAGTGAGTCCTTCGCGGGAAAGGTCAACCATTAAAATGGATCAGAAACCACCGCGGCTAAAGCAAAACGAGGGCTGCCGTGTATTCAGAAGCTCTAGCACAAGACCACCGATGCTGCGAAGCCTAGATTCTGATACACCACCCTCCTCAGAGCTGAAGACCGCCAGAAAAAGCCAGACGGGTCATCAAGAATAACCGTTTAGAAGGAGGAAGGTAGTACGGCAGAATTCTGAGGTAGACCCCAAACTGCGGGTTGGCAAGACCAGATGACAGAACTGACGACATGGGTATCGACCGTATGGGCATAGTTAGCGACAGTTGATCCAAGAAGTGGCAGAAGGTGGAATTTGTGCGTTCAGAGACAGAGGAGTGTCCGAATTGGGAGGTCTAGAAAAGGGGTGTGGGAGGGTTTCGCAGAATCGAGAACGGTGGATGGAAAGCAGACCCTGCAGACTGGCAGTGTATCTGTCACATCGACTCCTGTTGCGCGACCGTCAGCGTTATTTCTGAAGGAAAACGAAATGACTTGTCGGAAATTTTCCTGCATGCCGTACTCGAGGTGCATATATGCGCCATGAAAGGCGCTCAGTGCAACAACTTCAGCCTGTGGAATGAAATAACGGTCAGCTCTTGGAATACAAATTTAGAACTTAACTCATTCTTCACACCCCGAAGCTTTGGCGTTCGAACTTGGATATCGCGTCGTGGTGGAAGGAAACAACCTTGTGCCTCATCTTATCTCGACCGCTTCCGGCCTTCGGCGAACGCCGAGTCCTCCACTCAGGGGCTGCGGTCGAGTCTCAACAGTCCCACAACGAATCAGATATCAGCCATTTCCAAGCTCTCGGTGCTTGGAAATGGAAATGAATGCTGGTGTCTCTAACCAGTTCAGGCCGAATTCATCCGTAAATCATGAGTGGAGTCTGTGGGGCTGCCTGACGTCTCCTCCATTGTAGAACCCTACGGGAAGATGCAGTCTGGTATAAACCATCATTTCAGTATTCAATAACCAGTGCAAAGACTTATTTTACAAGTAGGTGGTATAACCGAAGAGGAGATCGGTGTATCATCGTTGGGGGCAACTGAGTTCTGGGAGTATAAAGGCATGTCACTCTCACAGATGCGAAATACTGTTCAAATAGAGCGAATCGTGCCTGTAAATATCGCACTCTGTCCGCGAACTGGGAAGAAGATCAAGAGGCATGCACCGGCGCTTAAATGTAAGGCATATGGAAAGTCATGTTCGGCGCCAATCGCGATCGGGCCGGACCACCCGAACATCCGTTCGCCAGTATGGAAGTTTTCGCACTCCACAGTGGTATTCCTGTTCCTCGGACATTTGCTTATAGTTATAGAGCCGAGCGGGATGGCGAGGAGACAGGTTTGTCCTACTTATGTTAGGAGGGATACCGCTGGCGTTTGTATGTAAGGACGCGGAAGTGACACTCGCACAGTGGTACGTGATCAATATACTCTGGGACTCGCCGTTCTTCGCGCTTAAAGAATCTGTGCGCTGTTTACAGGGACCAGTTTAGACCAGTCATCGTGGTATCTTGCTCCTATCCAAGTTCGACGAGAATGAAGTTTGGGAAATGACGCCGCAAGAGACAGACAAAATATTGACAAATGCCCAGCCAGCTCCTAGATAACCTGCAATGGTGTCGACTTGGTTGAACGGCTCGTCTCGTACCCGTACTGGAAGGATTCTCGGCCTTTCTATCCTCTCTTCAATCACTTGTTTGGGGGTAAGACAACGAAGAGTGATTCCTTGGACCATCTGATCAACAGGAAATAGTTCGGAACAGAGACGCGAGCAGCGGAAGAAACTGCTGATAATCCTTGGAAAGATAACATTCAGATCGAGTAGGTCGGGATTTACAGCTGCCGTTTCACAGAACGTTGACAAGTAGTCTACAAGTCGTTAGGTTCAGAGTATTTCCAATAGAAAAAAATGTCTGACCTTACTATTCATGCGTAGCACCTGGCGTTTTGCCCCAATATTCCACGACACTGCGGTCACCAGAACCACAGAGATACGTTTTCGTATTTCCTCTATCATCCTTCCACTTGGTTTGCAACTCCGGAATCACGTCAAGAGGTGTCAAGTTGGGGAGAACTTGAGAGGTTCTGGAGCAGGAATAATATGATCCAAGAAGGTGCAAACTTGTATAACGCCGTGTTCACAGACGACTAGGTTCCGAAGGAATGGTAGGCGGGCCACGGATAGAGAAGGCTCGATGGTAGAGCCAGGATAGTGGAGAGCGATTCTCTGGATCTGAGGAGCAACAGCTCCGAAAAGCTGCTGAATTGACGGCACCGTGCTTTCTGTGTTGCCTGCGGAGCAGCAGATGAGGCTGAATGATTTGAGGACAGGAGATGGTGCAAAGCATGGGTTCCAGATTTATTTGAGGAAAGGAGCTGTCGCTGAGGGCTATTCAAGCGAAAATCCGACATCGAAGTGTTGAATCCTCTCCCAGTCCTCCGTTATGAGTTTGACAAGCAGTTCGAGTGAGGAGTGGATATGGATTTTCCCTTCACGGAAAGCAACGAGTTCTTCGTGCGCTTGATGATCTCATCCCACCTTCGTGAGTGATGCTTCCGAGACACTCGAGATCCATTAATCGTCCCACTCCCTAGACTCGAGAATCAAGGACCTCCACGAACGACAGACGCGAGAAGTGACGATTAGAGTTGCTAGCGCACGATGACGCCACTTGGACAAGGGTATCTTGGTGTCTTCCCCAATATCGTCCGTCATGTCAGCGTTGAGCGTGAATATTGCCCAAAGAACGTCGTTGCTAAGTTCATTAAGTTTGTACATCTAGGCTGGATTGACCAAGTGCCAGACCAACATCATCTAGGAGCGTTCCATGAACAAAAAGACGCGCCAGTTCATAAAAGACATACCTTTGTTCGTCTTGCATCCAGAGCTGACCATCGTAGGTCTTTGGGACCGCGTTTTGAAGGATGTGGTTGTAGTGTAAGAATGTTTTGTTATTGCACCAAACAAATGATGATACGCCTTCTCCTTCCACGTTGACCACTTCCTTCGACGCTACAACACCCATATTCAAATGCTCTAAATCTATCTGAAGAGTAGGTCCTTATACAAGCGTTACTTGCTACGACTTACGTGGAGACCAGGTCACCACGGTTGTGAGAAACCCGGCCTGGAGCGACAGTTCCCTGCCCTTTGCCATCTCAATGCCCAGCATAGCGGTTGGAGATGTCGACTCTGGTGTACGCGTTGTCGTAACGCCGTCGCAATCGTCGTATTTTGCTGGCGAACCGTTTTCAGTGACGATCACATTTACCAACACACGGACGCCAGAGGCAGGTCCATCGCGACCCAGCTCTCATTCTCACAAACGAGGGGCCCATTCGATTAGCTCTGCTCCTCTTGCGCGACCACCAACGTCGCCTGGAACTCCCCGGAGCGCAGCAACTCCGTCGATACCACGAGGAAAGCCCGTCGATGAATTGCCACGGCGGAAGAACCTCATCGGGAAACCCAAACCTCCGCCAGTGCTACCACAAAGTTCAGAGGAGATTCCGAATCTGATAGAGCAGCGGAGGAAGAAGCAGCTGGCACCGAAGTCGTTGTCGGTGTCGATTTCGCCGTTCGAGTTGGAGGATCGGCTGGCAGTGGCCTCAGCTCCACATTCGCAGAGGTCGTTTGCAAATTGTGAGTTGCTTTGATTTTCCGTAACTTCGAAGCTTACGCCTTGGAAAGTGCCAACGACACCACACACCCCTTCCCCTCTTGCCCGTACCGACGCTCTCGAATTGGCTTCCAACCACCCCCATGCACGCAAACACTCCGTTCTCGACGGCCAACTTTCGCTCGACATCATCTCTCCGACAACCTCTGTTCCTCCATTTCCCTACAGCCCCTCGTCATCCACATCCACATTCTCGTTAGCTCTCGATCCCATCGCAGAAGCAGCTCTTTCGCCCTACCCCTCAACCCCAGCCATCGGCTCTCCGACCATCGAGCCAGCCCCGTTTCCACCACACACTCCCACCGGTCCATCCGAGTCAAGCAACTTCGTGTACGCATACCCACCACCACGGCCACATGGACACGGGTACACACACCACCGACCGGCACCCATCGGTTTGGGACAGCCATCCAACTCACCCCGTGGGTACCCACACGCGCCCCGTACAGCGTTTGCGTCGACCTTCCCATCGGCTAACAATGAACTCATACTCTACTCCTACGCGCAGCTGACCGGCACGGTGCTAATCACCCCGGCGCCGGGTGCCCGACCTACGCCAGAGCAGACGCTGACGCTGAATGGTGTCCGGGCGGCTCTGCTCAGCCGAAAGGTTCTTGGGGGTGGGAGTATGGATATTACGGCGTCATTGAATGCACCAGTTTCGCCCACACCGCGTCATAGGGCAACCCATAGTCGGTCATCGTCATTTTCTGCAGGATTGTTGTCGATATTGTCGCCAACGTCGTTGGTGTCGTCGATATCAAGCCCGTCCCCGAATTCGCCGCTTTCTCGAGGTAGTCCATCAAGATGGCGAGCCACGTCTGCCTATACACCCAACGCCACACCTTTGTCCGCCAAATTTCCGAATAGCTCGAGTAGTCCCAGCGTGCTCGGTCTTGGATATGGGAATGTGTCGGCAGACGAGGTCAACCCGGAGGACCCGTTGCCCACATTCGAGGTTCAGCCCGCGATGTTAGGCGTCGATTTGTCCCTTGCACCTGGAGAGTCGCGAACTTGTCAGTTTTTTTTTTCTTGTTCGTAACCAGGTTTTGTTGTTCTAACTGTCCGAATAGACACCTACACCATCAGGCTTCCAGACATCCTACCACCGACGTTCAAAGGAAAGGCCCTCAAGTTTTCTTACGAGCTGGTTGTGGGTACATGCCGGGCGGGCCCACCAGGCAGCGGCGGAGGCATGGGTGTCAACAGTATCAGTCGAGTCATGAAGGTACCAATACGAGTGTACAACCATGTTTCCGGTACGGCCGTTTCTTTTCTGCCCCGTTTGCTGAAACTAATTATTGGTTCAGTCAGTCGATCATTACGACCGTACGATATTCTCTGGCCGGTCAGCAAGCGGCAAGATGTCGGTATGCCAGGCACAGAGGCGAAGGTGGTTGAGTCGATGCCTGAGACGCAGAAGGGGTTGCTTCAGATTCCTCGAATGCCCTCCTGTACGTTATGTTGCTTTTAAAAACTTAGCTATTTGCTCATATTTCTTTCAGCCTCGTCATCTCCATCATTATCCTCATCCAACACACTGGAGTCAATACGAGACTATGCTCGGTCATTACTAGCGTCGTTAGCCGATTCAAGCGAAGGGCAATCCAAATCAGATCCCGAATCGCCCAGTTCGCCTCTTACAAACGATGGAGCCGAAGCTAATGGACGAAGGAACGGAAACACGAACGGGAATGGTAACGCCAAACGGAGAAGCATCCTACGACCAGAGGAAATGCGCCGGACGGAGAGCGAGCGAGAGAAAGAAGCTGAAGGTGGTCTGACGGGGTGTCGCGAGGCTGTGGAAATCTTGACGAGAAATCCAAAGAAGGGTGCTTTTAATTCGTTCGTTTCCCTGTGCGGTTGGCTAATGTTTTGGACATCTAGCTTCGTATGATGTGAATAAGGATGGAGTGAAGGTTGCTGTGCTGACCTTCACGAAGTCTGCATATCGGCTTGGAGAGACGATTACTGGGATCGTGGAGTTGAACGAACGGAGTAGCAGAGCCCGTGTTCTGAAAGTCGGTCCTTCCTTTCGGCACTCTAATATACCGTCTTACCATGATCTTCAGGTTTCTGCAATCCTAGAGTCGCATGAGACCCTTCCATCATCAATATCTCCCTTAGCTGGTGCACGGCATTTACGACGATCCCACGCAGAGAGCCATTCCTCCTTCACACTCCACACACTTCGTACCACCTTCTCACTCGACATCCCCTCCGACGCCAGCCCCGCTTTCCAAGTCCGCATCGGCACACCACCAGCCGCGTCCGCAACACCACCTCCTACACCTGGAGGGCTCGAATGGAAAGTGCGCCTATGCCTTCTCGTGGCCATCGCCGCCGAGATGTCCCACGTCGGCGTCCAAGGTGTGCGGCTCAAAGGCCTCGTCCGGGATGGCTCAAGGGGCGAATGGGGCTCCTCGTGGCGCGCCACACGTACGAATGCCCCGCAGGAGAAACCTGACCTCAAAGCGGAAGCTGCAGCGGCTCAGCGACTTCAGCAGGCCTCCTCCCCGCGGAGCTGGTCCTCCTTCCTCGTCTCGTCGATTCTGTATGGAGGTGCGAACGAGAACACAGAACGCGAGTACCATGACGGAGACGTCCTTGAGGACGAGGAGGTCGTGTATGATGGGATTATACCCGACCTCGCAGGTGGTGTGGGTGTTGGCGTGGATTATGCGAATGGAGACGAGGGCTGGAGGGATGTACGCCTCGAGACCGTGGAATGTGAAGTGCCTGTGAAGGTCTTCCCTGGGAACACGGCGTTCAAGGCTCTCGATGTCGTTTTTGATGTGTAGTTTCGGTTTCTTTTTGTCGATTCGGATTGGATGGACGGTTTATGCCTTTTTCATTGTCTTATTTCATTGTATTTTTATTGTTTCTATATACAAGTAGTCGTGTCCGCCATTTTCGCCACTGTCTTTTTCAGGTTGTGGGTCGGGCCTGGGCTTGAGCTCGAGTTCCTCCATCTCTCATCGACCGGCGTCTGCCGGATAGGGGCCTCGACATGCAACCCTGAACATGCGCGCAGGTTGCCCGACAACCACCATCTCGAAAGCAAACGTGGAGACCAACAGTATGCTTTCTCCACTGTTTTCTGGTTTTTATGCTTATATCTTATGATCTGTCGCAGACTCAACATGAGTGGAAGACCTGGCTCCGTTAATCGAACAGCAGTTCTGCTTGCTTCCACAGTCAACGACAAGATACCCGTGGAAATCTTAACCATAATTTTCAAGCACTTATATGCGTCGTCCATGATTCTCTCAGAAGACTCCAATACCTCTCCTGATGTTTTCTATCGCAAGAAAGACTGCGGTACCGATCCAGCGTCTGAATTACGCAAGCCGCACGTCGCCACGTTCTCCTTTCACCTCCAAATTGCAGCTTCTGTGTGCCGTTTATGGAGGGAAATTTTGAAGACCATGCCAGAATATAAGACGCGCCTCCTCGTCTGCCTTGACCAGCGCTCTCTTGGCCTCAAACGTCTAAAAGCTCAAGTTTCTGGCACGAACAACCTTCCTCTCGATGTTTTGGTTACTAGGAAAGATTTCGAGGCCGAGGACGAGGAAGACGAAGAGCAAGGAGATTTCGAAAGGTCGCGTATGCGAGCCGTCATGGATTGGCTTTCTCCCCTCCTCCCACGAATCAGGACATTCGTCTGCAACACGAAATTTGCGTCGTCTCTACCCTACATCTCACAAGATTTCCATGGCCCCGCCGAGCAACTCCGGGTGCTCAAGCTCCAATGCAAAGTGGACGACGAATGGAACTACCGACTTCCAGATGAGATGGCCGTTATGTACCAACCCGCAGAGAAGGAATTCATGTTCCCGAACCTTGCGACAATCGTCCTGCACGGATGCACGTTTCTCGACGCGTGCGCTGTGGCGGCTTGGAGGAGACAACTCGCCGGGATGAGCATCGACTCCCTCTGCATCGCCAAATTCACGACCCCATCCCGCGAGAACGATTACGGCGAGGTCCCTTACCATGCCTACTCGTTCAATCTCTACATGCTCATGAGCCGCATTCGGGACATAGGTTTCATCGGACACCTCACTCTTCAGGAAATATTGCCAGAATATGACACCGGCCAAGTCGGCGAGGGCGGTACAGAGCCGGAGGCAGATAATTTGACTTTGCGCGATCTAGAAGGAGGTGTCGCAGACGAGCTCAACTTCATCATCGCTGGACACAAATGGTGCTCGTACCACATTGTGAACACTGATCTGTATTGCGACCCACTCCCCATGGCGCATCATCTTCGTATCGAGAACGCCTTCGATTCACCAGGAGCGAGCTTGAAGAAGGTCTTCGAACACTTTCCTGGACGCCGCCTGGACATCGTCAATTGCAAAGAATTGACTGACGAACACCTCCAAATCATTGCTCAGAAGTGCAAGAATCTGCGCTGGCTCTACCTTACCAACTGTCCCAACATTACTGTTGAAGGCGTCAAGAAAATGATCTCCGCTCGACGCGACATTGCATCCCCGGACGACGCAGCCAGTGATGGGGAAAGTGACGCAGAAGACGGCCGAGAATGCACCAGTGCCGATGATATAAAGCTTAATCCCGACTCCAAGGCGTATGCCGATAGCTCGCCAAGGAGAATGAGCCGCCTCCATATCGCGCAGCACCCCACAAAATTGACGGATGATGAACGAGTCTGGTTCAAGAATTCCGGCGTGAAATCATTCTCTTGGGAGTAGCAGGTTTGCTCGTACACAAGGCGGTCCTACCGGCAGCCGGTCTTCATGTTGCTTTATATCGCATCTCTGCATGTAGCTGATGTTATGTGAACGGGAGCCCGAATTGGTTGTCCCGGGCCGGTTTATCCGATGCTGGCGCTAAATCTCTCTCAGCACAAGGCACCAGAGCGCTTCGGAATATTAAGTCCTCATTTGATGGCAATGCGTGGTGCCACATGAGTGCCAACCCTCGAGTTCGCGCTCGCGCTGAAGTGAACTTCAGGCTATCGTTCGACGTCAACAATCCGATTTGTATTCAGTGTGGGCATGATTGAATAGTAATAGATCAGATAGGAGGGGTTACTATAAAATCTTTCCTACCCTTCCGGTACTCTCCTGTCGCTTTAACCATCATCTGACGTGTTCTACTATGTTGCAAAATTCTTTGCTGCTTTTGTCTGTGTCGAACATGATTGTTGGCGATATTTCTCTGGTTAGGCTTTCGCTTCTTGATGGCAATCTCTTTCCCCTTGTCGATAGATTTCTTCAAAGCCTTTACGACCTGAAAAAGAATAGATGTTAATACATACGATAAACTGGCACTATGAAATTCACCTTTGCATCTGACACATGGTGGTCTTTGTGGATGGAAACCATGCCGACAGTAGTTGGATCGCCTTTCCTCTTCTCGGTGAGCTGAAGGGCAACCTTGTATATCCCTTTTCTATTGACTGGTTGTTGACGGTCCAAGTGAAAAATTCCAAAAGCAGGGCGGGATAAGGGGCCACTTCCTGGGACGGCGACCCTTCTGATCTGATCCGCCGCGAGATAGTGGTCGATTGCTACCTTCGCGTCCTTTTTCCTGCTAGAAGAAAGGTCATGAAAGGGACCCTAAAAAGCGAGAAACGAGCTCAGCTTTGGGTTACTGACGACAGACTCGTGAATGAACCAAGGGCTCACCGTGCGTGGCTCAAGCGCAGCCCGCTGTTCCACCTGATCGACGTTATGTGCCAACGGGATGGCACGCACTGTGACAGAGCAGCAGAGGGCGAGGGTATAAAAAATAGGAGTGAACTTCATGACGCGGTTCTGTAATATAATCGTATGAATTGATCAGGGAAGTTGAGCGTCCGGCGTTGTAGAGGTGGGTTACGAGGAAGAATAGTTAAGGGGGAGAGTCCAGCTGGGGAGACCAGGTCATTTGAGCCAGTCTTTTATACTTTTGCCCCAGCCCATATTGTGGGCAATAATCGTCAGGTGCGTTGCAAAGAGTACACAGAGAACGCAAGTATCGGCTCTGGGCGGCGGCGGAGGCGCCGCCAGATGTTTGTTTTTGTGGGCTCTAGTCGATTCTTCTAGTACACGTACATGCAAGCCGCCCATCTTACCTCGCATCTGATATCGATGAAACACCCGGGGGAAGACGCTAGATCACCATCTTCCGTGGGTCCCATTATACAAAGCTCTCCTCTGACCTGTCCCTCCCCTCCCGAGACAATCGCCATGTCGCACTCATTCGAGAACCTATTCCCAGAACTCTATCCCCTCATTGCATCTCATATCCCTCTGCATGCGACCCCGCAGACCCTCCTTTCTCTTGCAATCACCAATCGCCACTTTTCAGAGTTCATTCTGCCGCTTGTCCACCAATGCCTGATTCTGCGAGACGAGAACAGCATCATGAAAATCCTTCACAAGATATCGGTGGACAGCGCGTTTTCGGTCAGAGTTCGGGAACTACACCTGATTTGCATGGGCAGTATCAGCAAAAAGGTCGACGCATTCGACACCATCAAAGAACTGGAGAAGGTTGTTGCCGCCGGCGCACTCCCCAATCTCCATACTTTAGGTCTCCGTAGCTGTGAATATGAATCCGATCCCGATGATCACCCAAATTTCTGGGCAATTGTCAACGAACACTGTCGTCGGCTACGCAGGATTCGCTTGATAGACGTTTACGGAGTTGAATACCTTCCTTCTAAAGAGCGTGACTTCCATTGGCTTCGGTCTTCTGGTGTTTTCCAAATTCCTGTGAGACTCATTTTGCCTTTGTCGGCCAATTCTGAACTCGAAATTGTGCAGGATCTTTCGACCCTTTCTTTCCGTGTAGCCAACGCGAACCTTAAAGATCAACATTACACCAGCTTTTTATCAACTTTGACACCGTGGACGCATTCACTACAGACATTGTCTTTGTCGTTCCATGTGTGCGAGGACGTATCGCTATCTGCAGTCTACTGCCTTAATTTCCCATGTCTCAGGTCTCTCAGTCTCGATATCTGGTCAGTGAATCAACCGTCGGAAGCTATGGACTTCTGGACGCGCCATCCGAACCTGGAGTCCTTAACTCTATGCTGTGCAGACGGAGTAAAATGCTTCGTGGACTCCATTCCTCGAGATTTTTTGCCACATCTACGGCATCTAAAGGTAAGCCAGATTATAGAGGCTGTCTTCATTCCTCCCAACGATTTTTCAGGCCAGTTACGTCGACGTGAGAGCGCTTGCTCCAGTCTTGCCCCAGCTCACCAGTCTCGCCGTACACGATAGCATAAACTCGCAAGTTCCGTACCTCCTTCGTTCTGTCATTCCTGGAGGACTACCAGGACTCAAAAGCCTCTACTTCGTCCGAGGCCGTTGGGATAAGAACGCGGTTGCTGAGGGTGCGTCGTGGTATGAGACCCACGACGGCGCTTTCCACGAAAGTAAGGAGGAGAAGAAGAAGGAGAAGAAGAAGAAGAAGAAGAGCGATAAATCAGACAGAAATATTCTTCGGGACTACATGCGTTCAATTGCTCGGGGAGCCCCAAACATAGAAGAGCTCGGCTTCGCACATGTGGAGAGTCTCTCTGGCTTGGTGAATATTCCTCGCCTCCTTGATATTCAGCGCTAATAGGGGGCTCTAGGTCGAGATATCGGATGTCTTTTCTGATCTTCGCCGATTAAAGAGGATGTACTATAGAATGCACTTCGAGGACGGCGACAATCCGAACGAAGCCACCATCGCTCACGTACTCGCCTTAGCGAAAGAGTCCTTCATCCCTTGCTTGGAATCCGTGACAAATCTCAACGATGACATCCCATACACCGTGTCAAGAATTCTCAGAGACGAGAATGGAAATCCCTGCGAAGTGGTTCTGGGTACTGGTGGAGGAATGGAGGTTGGAAACGAGGACTCGGCCTTCCTTTTTTACTACCCAAACAACGTGACATGTAGCATAGACTAAATGCACTTTTGTCCTTTCTTACAGCTTTAGAGCAATTTATTGGCAATTTAACCACTTCAGCGATATTAGCTGTCTAGATATTGTTGACCACGATGGCATTGCTAAATACGATCTCCACTTGGCAGAATTTGAAAGACGAGGAAACTGGCGATGTCCAATGAACTGATGTCGACTAGCGTAGATCACTATCTCATATACCTCCCAATTTAAATTTTGCAGGGTGTATCAGCAAGGTTCGAGCCGTTTCGACGCCTGTTGCCAATGGTACCGTAATTAAGCGCCCGCGCCCAGTGGCGGTGCACAACGCGAGACCAACAAATCTAGAACTGCGACTCTGCTTCGCGTGTCTAGCACTGAGACTAGTTTCGTTGACGCGTGTTGGAAAACCAATCCAGGTAGCTCTAGAGGTTCCACAAAGTTTCGTTGACGGCATCATGATATCGATACAGTGCCATATTTCGTGAGCCAATTGGCAGTGTATCCTGATAGATGGGATGGACCCACAGTTACGAGAATTCATAATCTCCGACTATTACTCTGCGAAGACTCAATTGTTTCGGAAACTTTTTCCTAGCGGGTCTCTCGACTATTCCCATCAAGTATGTAGCAAAAGTGAATTCTCACGCTCAAAACGATAGGCACGGCCTCTCAGATAGGCAATTTTACGTCACGTAATTCTGTGAGCATCTTGGGGTCAGACATGACAGTGAGCGGTGCCGGTGAACCGCTGATTATCGGACACACGAACGCTTCAACTGTGGGTCCTCGGGCTCTTGACGTCTGGGGAAGGGGAACTTGAAGCTCGAGTTGGAATGTAGAAGAAGGAATGTCTAACTCGCTTTGATTTGGCGTGTCAAAGTTGGTAGGTATGCAGTCTCCCGGCTTTTCGAGACCCACCATGCCCCCTTCATTCGCAGATCTCTTTCCAGAGATCTTCCCCCTCATTGTTGCCCATATCCCCCTGCACATAACCCCAGCGACTGTACGATCTCTTTCACTCACCAATCGGCATGTTTCGGCAGCGACGCTCCCACTCGTGTGGGGATGCTTGGTCATCGAGGATGAGCGCCAGTTTAACAATTTCGTGAAAAAGATATCAAGCGATCTCAAATTCGGCCACGGGGTTAGAGAGCTTCACATCATGTTGAGGTCTCTCTCACAGAATCGTTTCGTCGATGGCTCGTTCAATGCTGTCAAAATCCTCGAGGAGAGTATAATATCCGGAGCGCTTCCTAGCATGCACACGATCGGTTTGCGCGCCATTCTCAGCGGTTACGCCGACGAGTGTCCAGACTTCTGGAGAAACGTTAAGAAGTACTGCCCTCGATTTCGCAGGCTCATTCTACTAGACATCTATGGGGTAGGCCCGACTGAATCCATCTCCGGAGAATTCAAATGGCTTCAGTCATCTGGTGTTCATCAAATTGCTGTAGGATGCACTCTCCTGTTCAATAAACGCCGTTGCTGATGTCGAGTCTCACAGGAAATATCCTCACTTTCACTTCGGATTTGCAATAGAGATTTCCCAAATGACGTTTGCTCAAGTCTACTGCTACATTTAGGGGCATGGGCTCAATCCTTGGAAACACTCAATTTATCCCTCATGCCACAGGAGGACTTGCACCTATCAAAGTTTCTGTCTCTGCAATTCCCCTCTCTTCGCTCACTCACAGTAGACACCTGCCCAAATCATCAGACGGAGGAAGCAATGAGCTTTTGGACAAGACACCCGACTCTCGAGACCGTTGCAATCTTCACTAGAGAAAAATATTCACGGTGGTTCGTGGACCCCTTCCCTCAAGCCTTTTTACCGAACCTTAGGCATTTCAAGGTTAGTCAGACATTTACTTGAAGTTATTTTTCTAACATCATTTCAGGCCCACTTTCGAGAGGTTAGGGTGCTTGCGCAGATCTTGCCACAGCTCCGCAGCCTCGCCGTATGCGACAGTATAAATGCACAAGTCCCATACTTGCTTCGTTCGATTGTAGATGGTGGATTACCCAAGTTGAAGAGCCTCTACATTCGCCAGACTGCTTCCTCGAGTACCAGAAACGTCAATATCGAGGGTACGAGGCTCAGGATGGCACCTTCCATGACGGTCGAGAAGGGAGCATCAAGCGCCAGGGCCAAGCTAGTAAGAGGGATTTCCTAAAGGAATACGTACATTCGATTGTGCGGGGGGCACCGAACATCGAAGAGCTATGCTTCATTTCGCTGCCAAGTCTGACCGATCTGGTGAGTCCTTTCGACAATTTGTTAGCTGCATCATGTCATTGAGTTATGTCCTAGATTGTAATGTCCAGTGACTTCTCCGGACTGAAAAACCTGAAACGGATGTATATTGAGGTTGCCGCCACCTACGAAGATGAAGTACGGGAGAACATCCTTGCTAATGCCTCGCTAGTGTTGGCACAGCAATCCGGCCTTGCCTCATTGGAATCTGTGACGAATTTCAATCCTGAATTCCCATTCCCAGTCGCGAAAATCCAGTGAGACCGAGATGGTTATCCTGACGAAGTCGTCATGGATCGAGGAGGAGGAATGGAGATTGGGAACGAAGATGTGGCATTTCTCTATGCCGACCCTGATATGAGGTGCTGCGTAGAATAATCTATTCTGAACGGCGTTTGGCATACAATCAATAGACGTATCTATATCATGGTTGTCCCAAATATTTTACGCCTTTATTGTACCAGGTTTCCAGCGGGAAGACTCCCGGTCTGGCTCCACAAGGCCCTCCAAGTACTGGTTGCCTATAGTGTCTATGCATAGTATGTGATATATTGCATCTGTGGTAGCACCGCCTTGATTAATTACACGGAAAGAGTACTCACTTCTTTTCAAAGTCTCGACTCCGCCTACCATGCTGACACTGTGTGGGGGCTTCAAAGTTCCAGTCGGGCTCTCAGAGGGCGGGCGATGGTTGAAACGTTGACTACTGGATAGATTGTAGGTCTCAGGAATTGAACCGATGACTTAGAGCATTGACTTTGTGGGATTTCACACGATAAAGCAGCTATCAGCGCGATTGAACCACTAGGCCAAAAGGTGTACACCTAGTTTTTCACTCTTTGTCTTTTGTCACTCCCAATTCGACAACCGAGGATTCCATGACATATATTATAGCTAGCGTCATTTGGACCCCGATCCAACTGGTGTTGAGGGGGGTTATCGTCTCACAACGGGGAGGGGCTTGCTTCCTTCCCACGCCGTGACAGGGACAGCTGGTCGCGCTGATCGCCAGTCTGCCGACGTACTGCCGCTTTACGGACTTATCGTGACCTAGACTGTGCGTAGCCATCACCCACCTTTGGACTCAGTCGGCAGTCTCCGAAGATCGTACCGAAAGCAGTACACAAAGTCGGGCGCATCAGCTATATGTCCTCCTGACATTTTCAGAAAATCCAGGACTCCAGTAATCAACGTTGAATCCGTACGGCACCATTCAGACTCAGATTCAAGCATTCCAGAGTCACAATCGTCAGCTTCATTGCTGCGGTCATAACACAAGGTTTGGTACGAGCAATTGTTGTGCTTTTGCTACGCTCTATTGGGCCACTCATCTCGTCTCCTTTGTGAACTCGACGTAGTGTGACCAGCCTCCAGCCATGTGTGGCGTGAGTTTGTCAATCTCAACGTCGAAGAGCGGCGTTGCGGCGTATAGGTCGTGAGCCTTTTTTTAACGAATTGTCAGTCAAAGCGCCAACAGTTGAGCGAATCAACATGAAAACCACTAACCTTTCGGGACTGCCAACCAAGGAAGTACCAAGCCAACCTAGGCTCGTTCTCTGCGAGTCCCCAATGGCCACCTGTGAACCCCTTGTAGGGGTCGTCATAGCAGTCGGTGAAGGTCTTCTTCAGCGAAGGCAGGAGAGTTTGCAGATCGCTCGTCGGCTTGACGAAGACGGTGCAGATCTGGCAGACGGGCGCTTCGAGAGCGGGGCGTGGCAGTTTGGCATCCTCGAACTTGATAAACCAGTTCGTGGGGCTGTTGCGCACGTCCAAGGCAGCTAAACGTTTGCGGAAATCGCCCTCTGGGCCTGCGTACTCGGAAGGGTGCGTGGACAGGTCTGCGGGCCATTGGATGACCCAGGAGAGATGGTCGGGCTCTCCTGCTGCTATGCCGTAGTATTGCTCCTTGACGCCTGCTTGTACAGCTGCTGCGCGCAAGGCGGCGAACTCTGGGTTGGAGAGTTTGAAAGAGCGGTCGACTGTAATTTTCAAGAGCTCGGAGATGATGGGACGTCCGGACATCGCGTTGATACTAGTCCCGGTGGTGGTGGCAGGTTGAAGAGAGACATCTTCGTCATCGTTTTTCTTATATGCAAGCGAAAGGATCTTTGTTGCCATCGTCTGTTCATGTCACTAGCTCAGTAAGAAGGGCATGTTTTCGTAACTTCGTTAGTCAGTCGCGTAGCGGTTAGTCAGCTGAAAGTCTACCTGGGTGAGTCATGCCCACGTCGTTTCCCAGTCATTTCTGTCTATCAACAGGACTCAAGGAAGTTGCTAGCGTCATGGACTTATAGAATTCTGCCCGAGGTTTGCCTTTCCTCTCGCCTGCAAAGTGAGAGAATTTCCACGTGCCCCGCGATGGGGTCGAGGGCCAATGAGAATGTGGATGTGGATGATGACGGGCTATAGGGCAATGGAGGGACAGAGGTTGTTGGAGAGATGATGTCGAGCGAAAGTTGACCGTCTAGAACGGAGTGCTTCCGCGCATGGGGTTGATTTTTGAGAGCGTCGGTACGAGCAACAGGGGAAGGCGTGTGTAGTGTCGTTGGCACTTTTAAAAGCGTTAAGCTTCGAAGTTACGAAAAATTAACGCAACTCACAATTTGCAAACGACCTCTGCGAATGTGGAGCTGAGGCCACTGCCAGCCGATCCTCCAACTCGAACGGCGAAATCGACACCGACAACGACTTCGGTGCCAGCTGCTTCTTCCTCCGCTGCTCTATCAGGTTCGGAATCTCCTCTGAACTTTGTGGTAGCGCTGGCGGAGGTTTGGGTTTCCCGATGAGGTTCTTCCGCCGCGGCAATTCATCGACGGAGTTGCCGAGCTCCGTGGCGTTCCAGGCGACGTCGGTGGTCGTGAAAGCGGTGCAGGGCTAATCGAATGGGCCCCTCGTTTGTAAGAATGAGAACTGGGTCACGATGGGCCTGCCTCTGACGTCCGTGTGTTGGTGAATGTGATCGTCACTGAAAGCGGTTCCCCAGCAAAATATGACGGCGACAGTGTTACGACAATTTGCACACCAGAGCGCACATTTCCAACCGTTATGCTAGGCATTTACGTAGAAAATTATCGCGTCTGGAGAGTTCTTGCAACCGTGGCGCCTGAAAATAATATGGAGTTGGAGTTCCGGCCAGAAACTCCTACAGCCGGACTTACATACGCATACGGATCGATCCAGAGCATTTGAGTATGTCGCCGTCGTTGATATCCAGGAATTGAAGATGTGTTGGACAGTGTCCAATGTCGACGTCGGGGGAGAAAATGTGTAAGTCGTCAGCGTCATTTGTTTGGTGCAACCAACAAATCCTTGATACACTTCCTTCCTTCCTTCCTTCCTTGAGGACATAACCGGTACTAACCAACCTTCGAGGCACTTTCCATTCATCATACAATGTCAACTTCTGAATACAGCGCGAGAAAAGGTATGTTCACGATGAACCAACGCATCCCTCTTGGTGATCAAATGTTCCTAGATGATCATAGTCGAGCCCTGCACCAGCAAATTGAATCCAACGACGGCAGAAACGAAATTTGCTTGATTCATAAACTGAACTACGACATTCTTTGGGCAATATTCGCGCTTAACGCTGACATGGCGAACGATATTCAGGAAGACATCAAGATATCTTTGTCCAAGTGGCGACCTCGTGCAATCATAACGACTACTTTTGCGACTTCTCGTGTCTGTCGTCCGTGGAGGTCCTTGGTCCTCGAAACGCCAATTCTATGGGGACAATTAGTGGATCTCGAGTATCTCAGTAGCATCACCCATGAAGGCAGAGAAGAAATCATCAAGCGAACGAAGGACTCCTTCCTTTCCGTGAAGGGGGAGATCTATAAGGGCGCCTCACTCGAATTTCTAATCAAATTCATACTCGAAGACTGGCAGTGGGTTCAACATTTCGATGTCAGAATTTCGTCTAAATACTGCTCAGCCCTCAAAGACTGGAGCCTTTGCTTTACACAATCGCCCGTCCTCAGGCCGTTCAGCTTCAGCGGCTTCTCCATAGGTCGAAGAGATACCAGGACCCTGTCTATGCAGCACCACTTCGGGGCCGTTGCTCCTCAATTACGGAGATTTTCCCTCGCACACCCTGATTTCATGATCGATCTTTCTGCACTGTGGCTTTCACAGCTTCGCCACTTAAAGGTGCTGTACTGTGAGCATCCACTTTCATCCTGGCTGGATGCACTGAGCACCATGCACCTCCTCGAATCCCTTCAAATGATCGACGCCATTCTCTTTCCCCCAGAGATAGAGATGACATCCGGACTATCTGTGGCACGCCTGCCATCCCTTCGAGAGATACACGTCTTTTCCCGCGGCCTAGTGCAGATTTGCGCTTTCTTTGATCACATTATGCCCGCACCGGGCTGTTGCCTGCAGATGCAGATATCTGTCATGCCTGAAGGACCCTCTCCCACGTCTGAGCAGCTTACATTTATTAACCGTGTTTTGTCTAGATTTTTAGAATCATGGATCAACACCACCACCCATGTTGGCCCCTTGGAACTCTCGAGCTTCGAGAGTAATCTCTATATATCTGCATCGTCCAGTGATTCGCGCACACTTTTCATCAATATTAACGGCGTGCCCTCCATCATCGCTGCCCTTGAGGCATTTTCAAGATGCAAGTTCAGCGACATCACTTCTCTATCTTTTTACAGCGAAGTAAATCCAGCCAATCAGCACCTCGCCTCGTTCCTCCTCCGACTTACCAAGGTCACGGTCCTGGAAGTTCCGTACCCCTCCTTTGAAGGCCTTACACCAGAAAACCCGGATATGTCAGCTAGCCACGTCCCATTCCCTGACCTCTCTCGTGTCGTTTTAACCAGCCTAGCTCGGCAAGAATCGCAGCAATGGCGCGACATGTGTGTGCGCTTCTTCCGGTGGAGGCACAGCATGGGATGTCCTATCGAGATTTTTGACCTCACAGAAGCTGCAGATCGCCTGAAGCTCCTGAATTTTGCAGCTCTAGACGCAATTTCGGGATTGCAAATCAAATGGACGGACAACAGTGGAAATATCAAAACGTATCTCTGTGGTTCAGGTAATGTCAACGCCCTGGAACATTGGGATGAAATCGGAGCCATGGCGGATGAGCAATGATAGATGAGGTCTAAGCGTTGCCCTTCTATAATTGTGTATTATACGTACCCTGACCCTAGCTGCTCTGCCTGAATCAGAACTATCGTGTCAATGTGGTGCAAAACGAGAGTCCTGAAATTCTAACCTGCTTGACTATTAGAATGCTTTACCTTTATACACTATCTAAACTTCGAGCAGTTTTATCTTTTCCTGCTACGTGGCATTGATCATCAAATGGTAGGGTTTTCAAGAGAACAAGTCTTCATTGCCGCCAAAAAAATGATCGAAGAATGGATAACACTGCACACATCTCTGCCTGGCCTTGAGAATGCCCTGGACGAAAGTGACACTGACCTAGAGCACTCTTTTAAGCGCTGCCGCGGTACATGCCTACCAACCTTAAGCGCCCAGTGGCGGTGCACAATGCGAGACCAAATCCAACCAGCATTTCCTTCGTATGCAGAAGACTGAGGTGGATGATAATCTCGGGTTCTCGCTCGATCCTTAATTCGTGGGCGAACAAAATATAAAAACACTCTATTCAATCATAATGGCAGGCAGAGTCGTAGGTATTGAGTTGGCTGTTGTCCAAGAAGTTTGGTGGCATATAGATAGGTGTGTTATAGTATAGCCGCACGATAATAAAAGGGCTCCGAGATGACTGGCAGTTCTAAGTGGAGCCATAAAGGTAAATAGCGTCTATATGGAAGAGTGAAATAAAGACAAGAACGCCTTCCTCTTATCGGGGACACGGGCGCGCCTCTTCGCCGACTTGCCCCTGTGGGCTTTAAATTGGAGTAGCGATAAGGATAGGCGTAGTGTGGGCAGGGTGGACCATGAATCATGGCAAACCTTCGATGAAGGCGTTTCCATGAATCTCTTGTCCAGTCTAGATCTCTATGTGGGCTTGATGGACGGGTGTAGAGTGGTGGCAATCCTGAGAAGGCGGAGTCATCAGCAAACGAAGGGATACGAAGTCAACCCGTTAGGAGGCTTACTTTAACTTGACGATGAGCGTCCTGTAAGATAACGTAGAGGATTTGATCAGTCTTTGATTAAAAGCAAGAGAACCCGGGCAAGCAACGTGCGATAGAAGGGCAGCGATGACGCCCTTGACAAGGCGAATGACAGGATTGTGACGAACTTACCTACACAAATGCGTGTCGACGCGGAAATAACGCCTTCCCGACTTGCTTATCTTGACGGATGGACTATGCGAGTTGATCCCCGCGTCGGTTTGCTCAGCGGCGTGTTGGTCGGGGCCAAGCGCCTCCGACTTGGTGGTCTCTTCTGGCGATACAGTGGAGGTCGTGGAACAGCGCTGTGGGTCTGATTGCTCTGCCAATTATAACGCAAGTCCAAGCACAGGTTAGTCCGAATGACACAAATGGCAGTGAATGCGAGTCACCATGGAGGAGGATTACGCACCTAGGTAGATAGAATGCTCGTCCCACGAGATGACCATCGCCCCACGTAGTGGCGAAGGTCGCTTCCCAGTATTCGCGTTCGTACCATACCAGCGTGGATAAGACGCGCGCCGCTGACTCCGCCGGCGGCGGCGTTCGTCAAACACGTGCGGAGCGATCCCACTAATGACTTGCTGTGAGGTAGGCTTGAAGTTGGCGATGGCCTCTGCTGTCGTGGCGTAGGTCTTGGCCGTTCGTTGGGGTGACT